GGGGCGTGGGAGTCCCAGGGGTCTGTCTGGGGGTGGGGGTGTGGCTAAGGGTTGGGGCAGTCAGGGGACAAGAGGCAAGGAGGCTTAGATAGGGGGTGGAGTCCTGGGGGGCAGTTAGGGGCAGGGGTCCCAGGAGCGGGCAGTCAGGGGACAAGGAACGGGGGGAGGGTTGGGGGTTGTGGGGGGGCGGGAAGTGGGAGGGGCAGGGGCAGGGCTCCTCCCATCCTCTTTTTTGCTTGCTGAAATATGGTAACCCTAGACACTCCTCTGTATAGAAGTTTGGTGAAAAGTCAGTTTGATGGGTTTTTTCATGTGTTTGATTAATATTAAGACTGCCTTTTCTATGAATGGCCTAGTTACCACTGTTATCAAGTGGGTTGAACATAATCTTTTCTTACTGTCCTTGACTCTACGCCAAGTACAGCATGAAATAATGTTTTAAAAGCATTCACACAGACTATTATGTGAACCTTGAAAAATTGCATAGAATGCTACACTGATTGACTCATCATTACTATAGCTTGTACAGATTAGAGTTTCTTTAAAAGTTGTATGAGTAACTAACCTGTCTGATCTTTTACTTAAAATGCATTTGAAGAAACTTGTGCTTTACACAAAGTCTTCTGGTAGGTTTAATTCAGGAAGGATCAGATGGGAATAAAAAGTTCTGAACATCCTTGTTTTTGGAAGTCAATGGTATTCCCTTATAAAATGCAGACAAAGGACCTGATTTTAAGGTATGGCTAAGCCCTGCAACTCCCATTGACTTTATGTGGAGCTATAGGTGTTCACTACTTCTGAAAATCAGGCCTTAAAGAAACAGCTATCATCTTCACTGGGAGCATGAGTGATCTCTGAAGCAGTAAGGCTGCTATAATTAAAGTGCAGATTTGAAGATCTATTTTCTAGCTATTAACATGTTTTGAAAGCCCCATGAAAAATGAGGGGTTGGGGGTTAGATCATGAAGTTGTTACTGAGGCAGAGTAATATACAGTACCAATCAACATGGTATGTAATGACTGATCTTATACTTCAGGACTTATATACCTCAGATTATTTAGCAGTTAAAACCCAGGTAATGTTGCTCTCAAGTGGTTCTTTATACACGCTCATTAAACACAGGTGGACTTTGGCTTTCCATTGATTTTTTTTTTCTGAAAAAGAATAAGCAAATCAACCAACACGTGTTTTGCTCACATGCCAGAATGAAGAAGTATCAGAAAGTTGGAAGGTCTCCCATTCCTTAGGTTATATCTAGAGTTGCTCAGGAATTGTCTATCAAAAAATGTGTTTTTGATGGAAAATTGCAGTTTTTGCTAAATTTAAATTTTCTGTAGAGAAAATTCAATTTTGCCAAAATGTTTTGAGTTTTTCACTGGAAAAATTTAAATCTCCTTTCTCCTCTCTGTCCCCACCCAAACACCAAAGCCACAAATGACAAAAATCGTTTCCATTGATAGTCATTTTATTGTTTTTACATTGTAACTATATTTTAAAAGTCTTCATTCCACGAACTGATTCCCTCTTTGTTGTTTTCATTTAATATAACTTTTTAAATTTTACAGTGATTCCAGAGTTTGTTACTCAAGTCAATATTGCACTGGAGAGCTTAAGCAGGAACACAATGCATCAGTTTGATGACAATCAGTTTGTGGACATCTCAAAGAAGGTCTATGATACAATTCATGACATCAGATGTTCAGTCATGGTGATTCGGGTAAGTCTCTTCATTTATACCTTGACTATTCATTAATAACATTATTGAGCAATTGGGACACCGTGGAACATTCACAAGAATTTACAGCTAAACAAGGTACTATTGCCACAAAGTTCAGATCCAGATTTGCACAGTTCCAGTCTATGCTGGTGCTTTGATTCTGGGTTATTTGAATAGACACAAGTATAATTCAAAAAGGTCGGAACCATCCATTGTACACAGAACAAGTATGAAGTCTCTCAAAAAATTAAACATTTTTAAAAAGAAAATCAGCATAGAAAAAATAGTGTTTCTTCTGGGTCAGCCCAAAGTTAAACAAGTTGGGACTATACACTCAGCAATGTCTGAATGAGTGGATTCCAGATAGGAGTTCAGTTGTGCAAACTCCTTAGCCTTGTTCACTAATCTGCTGAAGGGGGGACTGTCGCATCATCCTGGTAATCCCTTTTGAAACTTTGTCACCAACAAATTGAAAGGAATTTTAGATTAACTTCTTTCCATCTGATAGCTTCAGCCCATTTAAGTATAGTGACAAAAGATATACTTACCAAAATAACTTATCGGAGAAGCTCTTAAAAATACTCTAGAAAAGAAAACTTTTGCCTTTGGAATGAACAGGATATGAACCCAAATGAATGAACTCAAACAGCAGGTTTTCCCCAGAATAGGGTTACCAGATAGCAACTGTGAAAAAATGGGAAAGGGGGTGGGGAGTAATAGGCACCTATATAAGAAAAAGTCCCAAAAAATGAGACTGTTCCTTTAAAAATGGAACATCTGGTCACCCTATCCCAGAACTACTTCGCTGCACAAATCTCATTGTAAATGGCTCTAGATGTACACTGAGCTATACTATCAATATGCTCAGTCTGTGTTTCAGAAACAAAATATAAACATTCCAAATAAAATCCACTTAATAAGTTTGTTTGCCAAGGAATGATGTCTTTTTTTCCTCCTCTATCAGTTAAGGAGAAACTGGGAAACAAATTCTGAGCCCTCATATAGGGTTTATTAAAGTTTAAAGTAGAAAGTTTTTGTGAGCCCCTTTAAAAATATTGGTAGCATATCACTTACTTGGCATCTGTGGGTGTTGAGGTACTCGGGATCTTGTAGGGTTGTGTCCGTGCTGCTGTAGCTTCAGATATGAAACTGATTATAAACGTAATGAAAGTCCTATCTTACTGTGTGTGGTTCACTGTGCTTTCACTCCACCTATAATGGATTTTGTTGTCAAGTGCAAGCCAATTTTACTGTCCTTAGCAGTACTCGGCACTTACCTGGTCAGTATTAAATGCTGCTGTGCTTTGCCAATGCCATTGGACAACGGGAGTGTAGCGGGGCAGTTACCCTCATCCTGAGAGAAAAGGCTAGGCTGATTGGGGAAGCAACCACAGCTGGGACCACACCCCAATCAGGCCACAGCTGGCCCTATAAAAGGGCTTTGAGCCAGGGGCTGTCAGTCTCTCTCTAGGTGTGGAGAGAGAAGGAACTGGCTGCCTGGGAAAAAGGGTACCTGAACTGGAGTAGTGCTAGGGAATAGGGCAAGGGATCTGGGGAGCTCCAGCCTGGTAAACCCCCAGGCTGCAGGCTTTATGCAAGGCCTAAAGAAAGGTACTGGGGTTAGGTAGAGGCAGCTGGTCCAAACCTGCCTTGCCAGTGATGAGTGGTTTATAGACTGAAGTCTTCCCCAGTGAGTGGGGGCTAGAGGATGACTGGAAGTAGCCACTGAGGCAAGATGGGGATAGAGAGTTGGGGGTTCCCCGGGGAAGGGAGACCCAGAGTGTGGGGTACTACTGGGGCAGAACCCCGAGGTAAAGGGCACTGGGGTCCAGGCAAGACACGAGGCCTGAGATAGGTGAGTCACTGGCCTGCAGAGGGCGCTCCAGGCTGAAGTTGAGCTAATTCATAGGAGCACCAGCAGGAGGTGCTGTGTGGCGAGTCATCGCTTTGCTACAGGGAGGAAAAGAGACATTGCTGTGGAAGTGAAGAGATGGTTGTATTAACGCCACTTGTGGTGATGGGGCCAGAGCAGACATTTTTTAGCTCTGCTGAACTAGTGAAGATGATGTCTGTTGGAATGTAGCTGTTGCATTAACTTAGATGGAATATATGGGCCAAAAGAGCCAAAGGGATTATCATTACCCTGTAATTGTCCAGCATTAAAGCATTTTAAACAAGGTTTGGGGCTTGGCATACAGAGTCCTCAGTCTGCTTAGTATGATGGCAAACACCATTAAAAATCCTTTTCAACCTTTTTTAGAGAGACAAAAAAAGGAAAAACAGTTAAGTTTGCCAAGTATTAAGTAAAGCTTTCATTTTAACAGCCTTGTTCCCTTTCCCTTTAGTTGGAAAAAGTTTTTAGAAGGGAAAAAGCCCCTTATGTAACGTCTCTTAAATGATAATAACTGTCCTTTTTTTGGAGGTGGGGAGAAGATACAATTGAGATGGGCTGGAGCTGTTGCAGTTGCTCTTAAGTCTGATCTTGTTTCCTAAAAGAGAAAACAAGACAAACACACACAAAAGGGGGAGAAAAGAATAAGGATAGATAAAGCAGTTTTTGTCTCTGACGTTGACTCTCATTGGCAACCTCCCATGCTGGGCCTGTGTTTTTCAGCTGCTCCAAATCCTGGCAAACTTGTATTGGCATTGGGCTATTTAGGACATTGTTTGTAGTTGCCTCTCCAGTCAGGGCTGCTGGAATGGTTTTTACAATGAAGGTGCTGAGAGCCATTGAACCAAACTGTGAAAACCTCTTATGATGGGAACCACTTGAAGCCAGGGGCTGTGGCAGCACCCCTAGTTCCAGCACCTATGTCTCCAGTCACAGGCTCACAGCAGTGTGGCAAAATATGCAGTCTGGGCTGACTAACCTGACTCTTATGAAACAGAAGGCAAAAGGAGAGAGCTAGGAAAGAAAATACATGAGGTGGGGGAAGGAAGAAGAGACACCGGGGTGGGAGGGAGATGAAATCTCACATCTCATGTAGTATTTGGGATTTAGCTGGAGCTGCGGGAGGTGGCAGTGGTAGTGTCATTTGTGTTCAGGCCCAGACTGGGTAGGACTACTCTCAAGAGGAGGATGAAGACGATCTGGAGTCCCAAGAGACCAGGGCGGTAGCAGCCCGGATGGTAAAGCTCACTGCAGGCATTGTTAGCAGACAGCTGCTGCTTCTGCTAATTTGTCCCCAAAGTCTTTTCCTATTAAGAACACCCGAAGGGAGTGTTGGACAGAATAGTCCATCCTCTCATTATTTTTGTCTCCTAATCAGCCTAATTTCAAGCACATGAATTCTGATTTCTGGTTCCACACTTTTATTGTTTACCAAGCATGATCTTAAAACAGTCCCTGAATTTATATTAGTGGGCCTTTTTGTTTGGGCTAATTCGACCTGTCTGTCTCTCTCTCTCTCTCGCATCTTTTCATATTGATATTTTTTGTTGTTCTGACATCTTATGGATTTACTCCCTTTTTAGAGTTGAGCTCACAATTAGGATAAATTTGTAGGCCCTTTATTACACCATCTGTCACTTATAATGAAATTCCTTTTATAACAAAGAGCATGTGTGTGTGCACGCTTATGAAAAATAGACATCACTAGCAGTAGACTCAACTGCATTTGAATGGTCACCAGTAAGCAGCAACAACAAAGTCCTGACAAAAGCTCAGGAGATCAAGAAAAGATTGTCATGAAATAGGACATCTGGACTTCATGAGCTCCACCATGCAAAGAGTGATGTGAGAAGCTTTTTAAAGGTTCACTGGAATGTCAGCCGACACTTCCCCCTCCCCAAGAGACATTTATGGGTGTATGCTGCCAAACCAAGAGTAAAGCATGACATTTATTTTGAGTAAGGATGCATTTGCATTCCTAATGAGAGAGAGTCCATTCAATGCCAGGCTTATTTCAGTCTACCTATAAGGAGCTTTAGTAAATTTGACTTATTCAAGCATATGCAGTAACCATAGCAGCCAACATGAGGAAATGTAGAGTGTTCTTTAGCAAACTCTAGGAGCTCATTGATATTATGCCAAAGAACAACGTGCTTCTGATTACATGGGATTTCAGTACTAAAATGAGAGAAGGAATTGTTGATCAAAATATAATTGGAAGATGTAAATGAACAAGGACACTAATTCAGAGTTCTTTTCAACATCAAAGCAGAAGCTCTGCAGATCAGCTCCACAGGAACCATTTCAAGCATGTAATTAGAGAGAGAATATTTTAAAAGGTAGTTCTTCTTATCTGCAAAACCCTGCCAGATCCCATTATTAACTCAGTCTTTCAAAGTTAAATCTTCACTTCAGATGTGTAAAAACACTCACTCCAGCCATGCAGGTATAGCCTCAAAAACACTGGAAAGAAGCTTATTGTCAAATAGCTGTTCAGCAATGCACTATACTAGTGGGGGGGGGGGGGGAGGGCAGGGTTTGAATCTAGGTCTCCTATGTCTGAGCTGAGTGCTCTAATCACTGGGCTGTTAAGCATTGGGGGATAGGGCATGTGCCAGTAGCTCCTCCTCATTTTTATTAATGGGAGCTAAGTCCTCCTGTACATCTAGCCCAAACATTTGAAATGTTTTATTTGGAAAATATCAAAATGAACTATTTTAACACTTTTTTCCACATGCTTTTTCCGACCAAAGCAATTACCCAGAAGTGACACAGATTAATGAAATGTTTCAGCCAACCTGAATCTCTGTTTTTTCAGTCAAAAAAAAAGTTCACCTGACACTCGTGCTATACTTGATCACTCTAGAAAGGGATCCAGTCTAACAGTCAAAACAGATTTTAGTTTGGTGGAGTATGGAATCAGACTTCTAATCAGTTCAGTGCTTTCAGGACACAATGCAAAGCCAGAAAAGTGGCCCCTTTATGGCACATGCTGAAAGTTCTGGCAGTTGATAATAGGTGGCTAGCTATTATTTATCATATTTCTGAAATGTCTATAAACTATAATAACTAATAATGAGTAGTAGTAATTCCAAGAAACAAAATTATG